AGTGTCGTGTTTACCAATAGTGACTACCTGAATGATTAGTTGATAAATTCGCTTATCCAAGTTAATTCACATGCTTTGGTTACTTTCTTTACATCCCAAAAGTAATTCTATGTATTGAAGCAATGTCTGGGTTAAGCATTGAGAACTAAGTAAACTGATACATGCTTCAGACGAAAGAACAATTTATCGACCACACTATGATGCAAACATCGATGAGCGAGCGACATATTTCCTTCAATGTTGTTTAACTGATGCATATGTCTGATGTAATTTAATTGATATAACTAAGTGAACTTACACATACCTGACCCTGAAGGAAACCAAATCTGTGTATAATGCTGGAATACAAATAGCGAAAGAGTAAGTAAGATATTCTGTTCAGTGTTATTTAACTGCTGCATATGTTTTTAATTTTGATTCCATATAACTTGTTTTTTAATTATAAGAGAAAGAAAATAATTCAATATTGAACACATATTTTGAGTATAACAAAAGTATTTTAAGAAACAACCTTTTAAAAATACATTAGTCATTAAAAATATTTAATTTGTGTACAGGCTGAATTGAAACTAAGATGTGGTGGTGTATTTAATTATGGCAAAGCACACTAGGGCTATCTGCGTAATAGGTGTGATACCTTCGTGGAGGACTTTCTCAGGGAAACTGGCTCGTATACACATTACACATGAGGAAAACCACGAAAACGCCCATGCAGCCAGCCCGTTCGCGGGATTCGGACCGAACTACCAGTGTTCAGCGACTTTACCGCTCAGCTGCTGGTGGGCCGAAACTAAGGTGTAGGGCAAGTTTATTATTGTGCGTATATGTGTAAGAAAATGTATTTTAATTTTTCCATTTTTATTGTATGGAAGGAAGAATAGGATGCCAATATCGAAGATTATTTACTATAGCAAATAATCACGTCAGGATAAATGTTATATAGAAATCTTGGGAGTGTAAGGGATTATAAGAGTACTTTTAGATTATACTGAAAATATATGCATTTCTGCTAAAATCTGAAGTGAATCAGTATGAAGTGACTTTAAAAATAATGTGATAAGTATACTATTTAAAAGTATAAATGACGAATATTAAGAAATTTGTAGAATTTTATGGTATTTAAATATGAATTCGTTAAGTCAAATCTTTTTATATATATTTTTGCTTGAGATATGTAAATTAAACTGAAAATCACAATCATATATTTCTCATCGAATGTCAAAGTTCATTTGTATTAAAAAAAATGCATGAGCAATGAAATTAAATACTTTTTGATTATGTTTTTACCATGGTCTTAGCAGTTATGCCATCATGTGTTCTGTTCAACAAAATTTCTTTAGTGCAAACAATACTACGAAAAATATTGAAAAATACCTTGTTTTACAATATTTATTTCCCTTAATTAAATATCGTTTTTCATTTTCTAATGCTTTCCTTTATGATAAGAATTTAATGTTTACAATTATTTTCAGCATTCGTACGAATTCTGTGCATAAAATAAACATTGCTTTAACAAAATACTTAATCGGAATGTATATACCCGGTATTTCCGGTGTATCTACCACATTTAAAATGATCATTTTGCTTTAGTTTACATTATTTCCATTACGAAAATCATGTAGCAGACGCGTCGGCCGATGCGTCTTGTCTCCCGGGTGACGTCACTACCAGCAACCAATGGCACGCTTTTTCCGTTCCTGGCCTAACCTTAGTATATTAAAGAACCTTGGGGAAGGCTACTCTTCTTTGGTCAAAAGTGAGAATTTGGTGCAAAGAATTCAAGCAAGGCCCTGAACGTGTTGCGAATCAAGGTCATACCCGTTGTCCTCGCAGCGGTGTGACTAATGAAAACACTGCACGTGTTCGTGAGATTTTGAAACGGCATCGATGCTGCACAGTGTTTCAAATTTCAGAAGAACTTTGTGTCAGCCACAATCATCAGAAAGCCGTTGGGCTTCATAAAAATCTCCGCTCTTTGGGTTGCAAAGTTAATAAATGATGATCAAAGGGCTGTACGAGCTCGCATTTCCCAATTGCATCAAACTCGTTTTGAAGAAGAGGAAGCTTTTCTGTATAAAATTGTTACCTGTGACGAGACGTGGGTGCATCATTACACCTTACCCCCCAATCAATTGCGAATTAAAGTTAGCACTTCACATTAGTTATTGTTTATTTTACACTCACAGCTATGTATATTAAACTCACGTTGTTAAACCAAACTTTAGTTTTATCTCTTCGTTTTCAAAGAGGTTTGCGAAGCATGAAAGATGAGAACTGCTGCTTTACATCTATTGCCGAACCTCTTTTTTTTTTTTTAGTTCAACAATTTTTTCCAAAGCTTTTAGCGCATTCTTCAAATTTGTTCAATGCAACACAGCCAAAAGAGATTCCCTCTTGCAACAATGATATATTTTTAGATGGACTTCAAATCACTATAGGCTATACTGGCTATATATGCAGAGGAAATTTTAGATATTGTTGTGAACGTACGCGTTTGTAACGGAATAAATATACAGAGAACCGATGATAGCTTGATACAATTAATTTTACCAAAAGAAATACGTTACAGTTCTGGAACTTTACCTTCTCAGTGTCACAGAACACAATCAATAGTTACACTACAGACTACTGAGAAAGTTAATCTAAAAGACGAAGTTCTCAGGAGTATCTCAGTACTCCAAATTCAGGTTTGAACTAGCAACAACAACCAAGAGCAAATGCTCGCACCGGTTTTATATGGTTTTCGCTTCACCGCCAAGAAGTCTTTAGTACCTTCCATTTCTCGAAATTGCTGGAAGACATATACATTTCCAAATTATGTCTAAGGGTTGGATATGGTTACACCTACATATAGAGCTGGTTTGTTTTATTTGATTACAGCACAGCACTCGAGGGCTATGTGCCTAATGGCAATGATGCCTTCCTGGAGAACTTTCTAAGATAAACTGTATCGTATTCAAGTTACACATGGGGAAAACAACGGAAACGCCTCTGGAACCAGCCCTTTCGCGGGATTCGAACCGCGGACCGAACTACCAGTGTTTAGCGACTTTACACCGCTTGGTCGCTGATGTGTCTGCTTCTTGTAGGGATCAATCACAGTTATTTAATTACAGCATCAATTACTTGTACAGTGACCGCCCACCAGCGGCCGAGCGGTAAAGACGCTGAACACTGGTAGTTCGGTCCGAGGGTTCGAATTCTGCGAACGGGCTGGCTGCATGGGCGTTTTCGTGGTTTTCCCCATGTGTAACGTGTATAAGAGCCAGTTTCCCTTAGAAAGTCCTCCACGAAGGCATCCCTCCCTTTAGGCAGATAGCCCTCGTGTGCTTTGCCATAACTGAATAATCCAATCCAACCCAAGGACCAGACCGAAATGTCGACAAATTGTTTCCAAACGTTGCGGGAGAAAAGGAGGGATAAAGCTTTATTCCAGTCCTCGTGAATGTTATGTTATTTCATTAATGAATGCTGAAATCTAGATAGCATGCACAGGCAGAATTAGAGAAGACAATGACACGCGATTCATTCTTTTTTGAATTTCGTATTCTAAATAAATTCGATGACTGAATGCAAAACTATATATTTAAAGTAATTAATAAGGATTTTACTATACGAATGAGTTAAAAAAATAATAATTCTTTTTACAGAGTTTCAAATTTACAGGCACTGGTCGTATGCAACGCATGTCCTGAGAGGACGCTCCTGATATGAAAAGTCTGAGGAGACGAAGCTGTGCCGGAAAAATAATTTACAGGGGCAAACCTATTCAACATTGAGTAAGTGGCTATCTCGCTAAATTGGAGAGATATGGCCAAGCTGGCGACAGCTTTGGCGACTAATTTTTGTCGTCAAAAGTTTCATTTGTATAATGTAATACGACAAGTCGGAAGAGACAAAGATATGCCGGAAAAACAAGATTACAGGAGCAAGTCATTGAGTAAATGGCTATCTCGCTAAATTGGCAAGATATCGCCAAGTTAGTTATGGTTTTGGCGAATTATTTTTGTGACCAAATTTGGAAAGAAATCGTCAAAATTCGAGAAATTTGACGACCGTTTCGTGACATTTTGGTCCGGTCCCTGTATAACTGCAAATGGTATTGTGACTGAATAAATATAATTGAACCCTATATGTAACTGTAACAGTACCCGGCTCTCATATTCCTTTCAGTAATTTCGGGAAGTGAAAGGTACTAGAGATTTCTCGGCGGTGGAGTGAAAGCGGTATAAGACCGGAGAGAGGCATCAGTTTCTGAGCTGAAAGTTCAGAGTCAGTTTCGGAGTATTGAGATTATCTCCGTGTGAGCTTCGTTGTTTGGATGCGCTTTGCATTGAGTTGGGTTTAGCATTCTTAGTCATTTGAAGTGTAACTACTGACTAGGTTCTGTGATACTGAGAAGAGCTGTTAGAGTATTTTTGTGTAAATTTCTAGAACTGTAAAGTGTTTTTTTGGTAAAATAAGTTTTATCGAGCTCTCATCGTTTCTGTAAGTATTCAATCCATTACGAACCCCTACGCAAGCAACAATACCTTTTTAATTGCTGACGCACTTCAATTATTATTAACATAAATAAATATGAGTGGTTTAGGCATTTGAAAGCCATCAATAAGGGAATTATTTGCACTTTTTCTAAATGAATTTTAAGAGTTTTATGCGCAACTCCGAAATTTATGTTTTGATTGAATTAGTGAAATGTTAAAATATATAAATAATTAAATCGCACAATAATACTGAATTCTGACGTACGTGTTTGCTGTATGAATTATTGTAAGTTGTGTTCCTTCACTATATTCTTCATGGTATTTCTTAAATCGACTAACTCTAAACCCACTAAAATATATCTTAATTTACTGTATTCGTAAGCGCTTATTTTACATCACTTTGTGTACTTTGTTTCATTAGAATGAGAAGACGTGCTGAAAATTGGGTATTATTTTTAAATTTATACTTAAAGTTATCCATTAACAAAAATTTAAAGCAAGAAAATGTTTGCTTACCTTCAATATCTTGGAAATCTTTAGATGATAAATTCGCTAGCATGCCGATAGTGCATTGTCGTATTAGAGACTGAAAAGAATTATACATTTAATATTTTTAATGACGTTTGAAAAATAATTTTAAAACATTTTCAACTATATATCATTACATAAAATTTTCCAAACTTTTGATATCGCGATTAAGATATAGAACATATTAGAAACTTTTCAATGAAATATATAAAATGATAAGAAATAGCCAATAGTATGTATCAAAGAGGTGATATGGGACAAAATGAGATCTTGGATTTTAATTTAAATTTTATCAGCCATTACCGTTGAATTGTTATTGCTTTTGTGAAGCATCTTGTTTATCATTCTTTAAGTGAGCTGGAACTACAGGCTTTGTTAATAGGCTTGTGTGTTATATCCCTTAATATTGAAAAGTAATTCAAATCAGTTTTTTGTTTGTTTTTTGAGTTCGCCTTTTGTAGGTCTAGTGCGTAGTTACATTAAAGCGCTGCACCCAAAACGAAAAAACTACTGGTGCTCATTGAGTGTAGTCGAAAAATTTTCATGCACCTTTTTATTTAAAACAACATATTTTCGTAGAAAAGTATAAAATCTTTCGCCTTAGAATTTAGGATTTATTGAAAAGATAATTATTAAATAAATGTCAGTTTATAAATTTGTCCTGTGAAATTAACTTAAAGTGAACACTCAACCCAGTGGCTAACGCACAAACTTATCTTAACTTACTGTCGAGGTGTCACCTTTAACAGCTATCTATTGCTGACACAAAAACTAATAAAATTTAAATTTAAATAAAAATTCAATAACTGAAACTACATCACAAACTAAAACTATGATTTGCCACACTAAAACTATTACAATGATGATGTTTCTTGCCAGGTAGCTGAATTTGAAATATTGGGAAAATAAATGAATAAATAAATTCAAAAAATGTTTCAGATTTTAACGGTGGCTCAAAAGGGGTTTTATAATTTTTTCCCCCTTACACCTTCGCTGTGCTCTCACTCTACTAGTCTGCTTTTGCATTCACTTCTGCTACCCCCCCCCCCATTTTTGTATTTTTAGCTTATTGTTAAATATCGGTTTCTTCGCATTTACCCTACACACAGTTCAACAACAAAATCGCAAAATTTTTAAAAACTGCACAACAGTATACGTTTAGAATTCCCTATGTAGTGTTAAGTGTTGGCATACATTTGAATATTTTTAAGTCTTTTCTCAGTTCATCATATATGTATTCACTCTTCGTCGTATGATGGCTGACAAAAGGTTTGTCTTTTTTGTTATCGTACAATTCAATTCACCAGCAAAATCATAAAATATTAAAAAACTTCATATCTTTAGAATTTCCGATAGGTAGTCTTCCGCGGGGGAGTTTTATTCCGTGCAGTGTTGCCAATGTTCTCTTTCAAATCACTGAGTTTGTTAATAAAAAATTCTTTAATAAAAATGCTCGTTAATAAAGTTTGTAAATAAAAAAAACAGTCAACTATGCCTTCGCCTAAGTTTTCAAAAATATGAAATAAAAATAATGAAATAAATTCGGAATTCAAAATTCGACGTAGTTGGGTGGAGGACTACGTTATTCAAAATTGGATCGCTCTAGGTATCGTCGTTTTTTCACAGTGCAAAGAACATACATACATACGTACATGTAGATTTTTCTTCATTTAATTTCTTTAAAAGTAATATAGATCTATAATATTTGGTGGCAGCAGTTTGAAAAGTTGATTTGCCGTTTATAGTGAAGCGACGCAAAATCTCAATTCGATACTAATGGCCCCTTTTGGGCTAAAACAATTAATTGACAGCTAAACACTGGTCGAATTATACTCATAACTTACTTAGCGACAATATATAGTTACTATCTGACTCCCTTTTGGGCTAAAACAATTAATTGACAACTAAACACTGGTCGAATTATACTCATAACTTACTTTAGCGACAATATATAGTTACTATCTGACTTCTGCCCAATACATGTAGCAGGCACTAATTTTTTTTAAGACAGCGGCAAACGCAATAGTACCATAGTTAAGGTTAAACTCCTATTTTTATAGTAAGCAGCCGGCTTTTAAATTTATATAATTAATTAGCAAAGAAAGATAGCACAGAATTTAACTCAAAATCTAAAAGTTTATAAAACTTAGTAACTATCGGAAGTTTACCAAAAGTTGTGAAAAGGAAATATCGCTTGTTTAATCTATCGTAGGCCTAGTAAAAGTGTTTCTGTGAAAATATGTCTTAAAATTCAATTGTAGGTTATTGTTATATATTAATTATATCAGCGATAGGGAAGTGGTGACTTACGGGATACCTCCGACTTCATTTATGTAGCCCTGACAAATATAATGAAATTTATTGTACAATATTAGTGTGGCCCTTATATATTAGTTTATAAACAATTAGGTAAAGAGTTCTTTCAATAGTGAATCAGTTCTTGCTACGATGTAATTAATATATGTGGTATGATATTCATTATTGCTTTGATGTATAAAGTAGATGCATCTGTGGAATGTGCGATGAACAGACTTTCTTCTTTTCTCTATTACGTGATATGTGATCATTTCTTTATTGTAAGAAATAATAGTTTTTCTGCAAATAAGCTGCTTTTAGAAAGTCCTATATTACTATTTTTCTTTTCTTTATTATTATGAAAAGAGCTGCATGGGAAGATAATCCATTAGTAGCCGAGTGGGTAAGACTGACGAATACTTGTAGTTCGACTCACTAGTAATGATGGGATTGGCTGCACGAAAGTTTCCGTGATTTTTCCTATGAGTAACGTAAATACTAACTAGTTTTCCTAACAAAGTCCTCTACGAAGATATTCTTCCCTTTATGCAAAGTGCCCAAGTGTGCTTTACCATAATCCAAGTAATTCATTACAATATGGGAAAATAAATTATTATGCTACTACTATTTATAAATATAAATGAAACACTGTTCAGACACATGAAACATATTTTAAAAATCCGAATACTATTCAAAATATCACAATACTATCAATAAGCACATAGATTTGCTCTTTTGTTAAACGTAAGTTTAGTTTGCAGTTATGTTCATCTACTGTGCAAACCAATTTTAAAAATGCAAAGTAGCCGATGAATCATTTTCAGAGTCAACCTTTGAAAATATAAAAATATTGTTAAAAAGCACATTGGTTTGCACTGCTGTTGAACATATGAGCATTTAAGTTTTGAATAATTATTGCACAACCGTTATTATTATGGACGCTTTCGGAAAATATCAATTTCACCAACTTCCAATTTTCAACCATTCAATATAATTTTCTTCTAAAATCGAGTTTATAATTTGCTGAGTACCAGAGCAGATTTCAAATGTTTTATTAGCGCAATTTTATCTTTATCTCGTTGAAGCTGTTCCTAGAGAAACGATAAAAATATGAACCTGCTTGCTGGAGAGGATGATGGAAAAAATACAAAAGGTTTAAAATAAATTTGAATAATTCTAACCTCCTTGGAAAAATAACATCAACTATAGATTTAGAGGCTGATGTTTGTATTTATACTGTGCTGCCATCTACCAGGTGACAAGGGAAATCGGGAGAAAGTGTTTGTTTTTGCTTTAATTTCAAACATCCTTTTTCTTCCTTTTCTTAACCTTTTAAATAGGAATTACATTATAATATCCCGTATTTATTTTTCTAATAATAGGAGTCTCAAGTATGTATTCACTTTATGACTATTTCAGAAATGTGTTTCTCGTTACGTTAAGTAATGATTTATGCTTTAAGTAAATGATAATTGTAAAATGGGAATTTCGTTCTATTGGATCCTCTATAAATTGTTCATTCACATTAGTGTCATTCCAATGGAAATGATTCATCTGTTCTTATTTTTCTTTCTTCTTCTTTTTCTAGTACTTAATTGTTTTCTTCCTTTCTATTTATAACTTCAAAAACAGCGGCTGATCTCTTTGAATACAGAGTTATGATGATGTTATTGTGACTCATCTCATTTGTCAGACAGTAACATCGGAACAAGCCCACGCAGTTCATCGTGGCAAGGAGTGCAAGATTGCCCCTGTCGTTGGCAATACCCTTCAGCATGATGCAAGTGGCATTACGACTTTGCTCAGTTCCTGGGGGTCCGAGGGTATCCCAACCCTCTTTCCCTATCACCAACCTCTCGAGAGGACTTTCGGCTTCCCGCATATTGTGAGTGTCCCCATGCCGCATAGACACTATGCATATACAAACATCCATGCCTTCTCCGGGATTCGAACCCTGGCCTTTCGTTACGGCAATCAGAGTTGCTAACCACTATCCCTACTGGGCAGTGAGTTATGATGTTAACGGGAATATATTTACTACATATGTAAACCGAAAGATGCATATTGAAATTGAAACAGGTAAGTTGTAATAATGGCTTTCGTTCATTTGTAGATTAATACAAGTTTTATTTCTTTGATAAATGTTTTCATGATCTCAAAATTTAAAGGAAAATAGCTTTTCCTTCGGTTTCAGTTATATCAACATGTAGAATGAACGAGCATTAGATAAGATTAGATAAAATTAATCATTTTTTAAAAATAAAAGGACGTCATTAAAATATTTTGTGATTTACAGATGCAATAAATTTTGCATAAATTTTATGGAAAAGTTTAGATGCATTTGAAGACGAATCCATGAATTTAATTTATCGCACATCATTTAGAGGCAGTACATCAGTTGCATAACCTTGAGTTTGAAAAAAAAAAAAAAAGATTTATTGTTTTACATATTTTTTATTAAATTTTCAAATTTAAGAATATTAATATTTTGCGTCTTAAGTATGCTTTAATTTTAAAAGAAGCGACAAACAAATTCGTGATTACTTGACAAAATGGCTTTTAAATCGTCCCATCGTTATCAAATGGCGCATGAAGTGTTAACTTTGTTAATGACGAAATTTGTAGTGGGAAATAACTATCAATAATTTTCCCAAAAGATGTTAAGAAAAAAAAAAAAAAAAAAAAAAAAAAAAAAAAAATGGTAGTCACGTAAACTTATAATTTACATTCTAGCGCAGCAGTTAAATACAAATATTTTCTGTA